AGTGAATTTAGATAATTTTTTATTTAATATAAAAAAATTATAAAGATTAGTTAAAATTTGAATGATTTTTATTAGAAGCAATTATTAGTTTTTATATTGGTGTATCAATCTTTTTGCAATTAATCCTGATGTGGAGGATCCTGAACAAAATATTGGTCACACCATCTCTGCTGAAACATCATCTATTCAACCACCACCTTATGAGGCACAGATGAAGCGCAAAATAATAATAATTCTTCAGAAATGAATCAGAGCCATGTCGTTTCTAGCCACGAAGTAGCTGTCTCCGGCAATATGTCCTCATCTCAAGACGAAAGTGATGTTAGTATGCATGATGTAGGAGGTAGATGAACATTTTTTTAACCATCAATAGAAGATAGGCTAACGCCAGAAAAGATAAAGATCACTTTTCTTTGATATAAAAATAGTACATATATAAATACATCAGGAAAAAAATAAAAAATAAATATACGTATATTTGCTTTATTGCTATAATAAAATATATAGGCGCACGGATGCCAGACAAATATATCAGAATAAAAATAGTTACAAAAAATAATATCTATTTTTGAATTTTTTCGTGTACATGTCGCCTTTTACTTTCAGGTTCGTTACATGTCATTATCCTATCTTTTAACAAACCAACGATTATCTCAATAATTTGTTTTATACTATCTCGCAAACTTTCTTGTCCCCCCTTTAGTGCATTTTTTGAGAGGTCTATTTGGGTAATTTGTTTTACTTGTACAATATAATCCGTCCGATGCGAACATAATGAAATGCCATTCCATTGCAGTGTTAATAAATCTGTACGAAAGAGTGATCATAAGTTTGCAAGTCCAGAAGATGTTACATTAGAATCTTAATTGCGTGTTCGGAACTTTCGCTGAAAATAAAATTATTGATTATTTCTGGTTGCAAGATCTGATCAAATCCAACATCACCACTCCACGATTATATGATTTAATAATATTTAAATAATTATTGCTGTTAATAGAACCAAAAAGTGCCATTCTCCAAAGTAAAATATAATTAAATATAACCTTCGTATTCCGTGTAAGTGCTAGTGTTCGGAGTATATGTTAAATATGTTTACAAGACTACGCGTCCCGCCTATTAGGATAACAAAAAAATATTGCATCCAACTTTCTTCCTGACGCTTCTTAGTATCAAGTTTACTTGTCCTACGAGAGGGACAGCGTCCGTACACCCCTTTTTTATTAGGATAACCATGACCTCGCATGGCATCCAGCGTTCGTCTTTAATGAACCAAGTTAACTTGGATTCAGATTACTTGCCCTACGAAAAAGGGATACGGTGTAAAATGATTGGGCTAGTGTACATAAGAAGAGCGGCCAAATTAATATAAGTCGGCCAGTCACGGGGCTGACCGGAATTAGTTTGTTGGGCAAAATTAGGCGATAATTGATCTAAAGCATATTATTTTAACTTTTGGATAGCGGCTTCCCTAATAACGTGATAAAGTTGATAATCATGAATCCAACACATAAACAAATCATTGGCATAATGGAGAAAAAATTAAAGGACTCGTTCCATTATTGCGCGTGATTTTTTGCCGCAAAATTCTAAAAAAAGAAATCAAGATGTACTGGTGAGCATTTTTATACAATAAGTTGAGAAGAATTCTACAAAATTAATTATTTGCTTTAATACTTTCAGGACGATGATTCTGAAAAAATGCTGTCAAAAAATACAAAGACACTACACCAGCACCACAAACTCCAGAAAACCAGGTGGTAGCTGATGAACCAGATTTAGATTATCTGAGCGAGCAGACAAATGTAAGGATCTGATTAAAAAATTCTACATTAACCTAAAATTTTCACAGGACGAATTAAATTCCGGGGTATCATCTATCTATGAGGACGAAGATGAAGAAAATTCTTTAGATGGCAGTTCTGATGAAGAAGATATCATTTAATTCTTTTGTTGGTTCAAAAACCGATAACAAAAGTATAATTGGAAATTAAAAAATAATGAAAGTGTTCAAAAAGAAAAATAGACCTCTATAAGAATTGAGGATGGCACAAAAGAGTTGAGCCATTCTGAATGTGCCCAAAAAGCTACAATGAGTAAATCTTTTAGAACTAAACAAGTGCATACTTAACAAATATCTCGAGAACGATCTTCCAGGTGAAGCTTTAGAAAATACAACAATTTTTTGGATTACAGCTGGCAGGTAAGATCA